TCTGAAATGATAACTTCAGCGAGAAGACATCATTTTAGATTTCCCCACATGGCATGCATACAGAACTTCAGTGAGCCTGGGAAAATACGGTTTGGGAGGAAGTACAATAATAAGGAAATGGAACCCTTTTTGATCACTTAACATGTGCTAGAAGGCTTGCAAACATATTTCATTTAATCCTGTTCAAACGCTATGAGGTAGATGTTGGTCCCACTTTGCAGACGAGGAAATGAAAGCTCAAGGAAGAAGAGCCAAAGGTCTGCCTTCATGTGAGTGTGGATTTGAAGCTGGGTCTGCTCGAAGTCTGTCCTTTTCTCTTTCCCCACCAGGTGGCCAGCCAGGGAGAAGTTATTAGCTTCTCTGTCCAGGAAGGCTTCCTGGAAGGGGTGAGGGCAAATAAACGACTTGATATCCCCGAAGAAGAAAATCTTCAGTCATCTTCAAATTTTCAGTGATGGTGAAATTAACCCAGGGGTACATCTTGTGGTCTTCAGAGTGACTGAATAGGTTCTCCAGGGGTGGCCTGGGGGCCTGAGGGTGACTTACAAAGCAGGGAGTTGGGCTTCCACATGATTTTCCTCAGGACTCTGGGGCCCTTGTCCTGGTGCTCACAGAAGGATCTGGTCTTCCTGTCTCCACAGTTACTGAGCCCTGGAGGTTCTGGTTGGGTGAGGAGACCATGGTTGAGTGACTCCAAGATGTCCTCAAGTGTCCTAATGCCCTTTTGTTTTTCCTTGATGGACTGTGTCATTATTCTGCCTTCCTGGGAACATCAGAACACTTGATTCTCTAGCTTTTCAAACAGCTCGTGATATATTTATTATTAACCAGGGCCTACCTTATGCCTTACCATGGCAATTCGTGAGAGATCTTTAAAAACAAAACAAAAGGCGATTAAACTCATTTAGGGGTGAATATTGTAAAAGACATGAGCCCTAAGGGTTTTGTAATTGGCATGGAATTCCATAATGTGCCCAAGTTTGATTGCATTATCCTCTGGTAACATGCTGTTGGTTTATTAACATGGAGTCTAAAAATGGCCATACTCTTTTATCCTGAGAGCAGATCTTTCTGTTATGACCAAACTGCCTCTGGCACGCTCTCCATGAACGGCCTTCCCCGCTATGGCTATTATCCTGCTGTGTCCCTACAGTACAGACAACTGGAGATGGTGACAGCTCACAAACACTCGCCGCCCACTTTCCACTCAGTCCCAGCAAAAACCCTTTTCTGCCTTCCCTCCCACGATGGCCAGGTACTGGGGGATGACCTATGGTTTGTAATGGGTGGTAGAGTCCAGAGTAATTGCTTGTGTGTAGAATGATGATGTGGACTAGGGTTCATACCCTGGCACAGGTTCTGCTACAGCCTCTGAGCAATTCCTTTTTCTTTTTCTTTTCTTTTTCCTTTCCTTTCCTCTTCCTTCCTTTTTTCTTTTTCTTTTGCCTTAATGAAAAAACTTTCTGCATTCTAGTATTGCTTCACTCACGGGCCGCCCTGATTT